GCAGCCGGGTCAGGAGGAGATAAAGAGAAAAGTAGGAAGCTGAGGCTTTGCCACTGCAGAGCTCAGCTGGGAGGAGAATCGCCTGACGTGGACCGAGGCCTCCCTGGACTCATCTGCAGCAGCTCAGTTCCAAGCCCCTCCTAGGACTTTGAGGCCCAGACGCACCCTGCGGCTCAAGTTCACAGACCGTGCCCCCATTGCCCCCCACACCACGAACACGAAGGCTGACACTTCCCTCCAGCCCTGTACCGGGGTGGCCTCAGCCCAGCTGCCTCCCCGGGCCAGCCCGGTCCCCTCCCTCAGCCTCAGTGATGCTCCCCACTCGCACACCCAGGACTCCCCTTATCTTCTTCAAAAGCCACCACGTTACTGGGAGCACAAGACGTTTCCTTCTGCACATGAAGCCCCAGCGCTGGCTGTCAACGAACACATTTGACGTGAGCTCTTCCTGGTCCAGAGCCGGCTCCAGCACTGCTCCGGTGCCTGGTGGGTCACACCTCTGCACACCTGGGGCAAATCACCCCAGTTATGGTGCTAGGGAGAAGAAACCAACGTTCTCCCAGCACCAGTATGCAGAGAAGCAACAGCGTTAAGCAGACAACTCGGCAAAGCTGGAAAAAACGAATTTGAAGAAAATTTGTCCTTTGGATAAGACATTCCAGGACTGATATGCACAGGCAATTAAAGGGGTGCTTTCACTCTCCACTGCCACTCTAGAGGTGACTTCTTGTGGGGTTTGGGGGTATTTATCCAGCTGATGCTGGTAACGCCCAGAGAATAAGGTCTGGAAGCATGCCAGCAGTTCTCCAAGATTTGTGTGCTCTGGGGAAGAATGTCAGTGTAAGCATTTCAATATTCCTTCCAAATGAACAAAAAATTGCACCTTCGGAAATCAGATACATTGGTAACTGCAAAAAAAATCATTGGTAAAAGCATCAAACTTGAAAACAAACCAGCCCATGGCACCTAATTCTCTCTTGGTAAACATTTTTGGGAAAAGTAACTCATGGAATTTTCACCACCTTTAAAAAGAACCTGAAGTACACAAATAAATACATTTAGTCACCTCGCTTCATGGAGCCCCTTCATAGCTTAAAGACTACAAGATGAACTGAGCACCTTGTTGACCACAGTAGTCTCAGCTTAACCTTTTTAGAAATATAGCAGGAGCCCTAGTCAGAGGCAAAGATTAATAAAAAAAAAACCAAACCTAAAACAGAAGCAACGCAGTGAAGTTGTTGCTCTAGGTTTATGATCCAGTCAATTACTAAGATAACGAAGCAGGGAGAACCCATGCTTCGCAATGAACTTGCACTACAAGCAAGACCACAGCAAATATTCTCAAACCCATACTAAGACAGAACACAAAGACCCCGATCCCACACTATGTCGTTGCAAAGTAGATGCTAGCACCCGACAAAACCATGGAGAACGGAGAAATGCCCATCTTCCTGCAGATTCACCCCATCCAAAATCACAATCTGACTACGGAATGCACACGTTCCCTCAGGATTCAGAGCCCCACGGCAGATCACTGTGGTCCTTCATCTTCAGCACAGAAAGGGAGGTCCAACTAGGGAAGAACATTTTTCTTTCCCAAATGTGCACCAACCAGTGTTGCTGTCAGAAGCACAATTCACTTACCCACAGAGCAGAGTGAGAAGCGGCAAGTCCCTGAGCAGAGGTGGAAAGGAACGCTATAGGGGGTGCAACCAGGCTCGATCACAAGGCTTTGTGACTGTGCCCAGCAGCCTCAGGTCTCTGATGAAGGCCACCCATGGTCTGCTGGACCAGATCAGGCCATCGCTACTGGGAAGTCAGGGCAAGCAAAGCGCAGCAAGTTTGCTGATGACACCAAACTGGGAGGAATGGTGGATACACCGGCAGGCTGTGCTGCCATTCAGCGTGACCTGGACAGGCTGGAGAGTTGGGCAGAGAGGAACCTGATGAGGTTCAACAAGG